GAGGGGCACAGGAAGTCTTGTGTCCGGTTATTATCCATTGAGGGGCACAGGAAGTCTTGTGTCGGGTTATTTTCCATTGAGGGGCACAGGAAGTTTTGTGTCCGGTTATTATCCATTGAGGGGCACAGGAAGTCTTGTGTCCGGTTATTATCCATTGAGGGGCACAGGAAGTCTTGTGTCGGGTTATTTTCCATTGAGGGGCACAGGAAGTTTTGTGTCCGGTTATTATCCATTGAGGGGCACAGGAAGTCTTGTGTCCGGTTATTCTCCATTGAGGGGCACAGGAAGTCTTGTGTCCGGTTATTATCCATTGAGGGGCACAGGAAGTCTGTCGGGTTATACTGCCGCCTAGAGGAGTATTGGATACTGGCAAACAAAATGAAAATGTTGACCAGTCCAGGATAACTCCTCCTACTCCCAGCATGCCTTGGGTCCAGCTACCCAGATTGTCCTGCCCAAGCCCTGACTGAGGCATGCCATACCCGCACCTTGCTGGGCTAGATGCTTGGGGGCTACCCTGGAATGGGATTTTCGGTCCATTGATCTCTGCATTGCGGCAGTTTCCGGACCCATTTGTTGAGAACTCTCCAGGTCCAGTGTACCTGAGCACTGTCCCCATCTCTGTGCATGGTCCTGGAGGCATTCCCGGAAGCTCTCTGCCTCTGAAATGTGTTCCTTGGTTCCAGCACCGCACTCCTTGAAGCACACTAGCCCAGCCCACAGATTGGAATATGAGAGGGAGGTTGCACAGCCCAGGATCGCATACTTACATACACTATATTGCCAGAAGTATTGGGACGCCGTTACACGCACATGAACTCTAATGGCGTCCCAGTCTTAGTCCGTAGGGTTCAGTATTGGGTTGGCCACGCCCTTTGCCGCTATAACAGCTCCGCCTCTTCTGGGAAGGCACCCACAAGGTTTAGGAGTGTGTCTATGGGAATGTTGGACCATTTGTGAGGTCAGGTACTGATGTTGGGGGAGGGGCTCGCAGTCTCCGCTCTAATTCATCCCAAAGGTGTTCTATGGGGTTGAGGTCAGGACTCTGTGCGGCCAGTCACGTTCCTCCTCCCCAAACTCCCCCATCCGTGTCTTTATGGACCTTGCTTTGTGCACTGGTGCGCAGTCATGTTGGAACAGGAAGGGGCCGTCCACAAACTCCTCCCACAAAGTTGGGAGCATGAAATTGTCCAAAATGTCTTGTTGTGCTGATGCCTTAAGAGTTCCCTTCACTGGAACTATGCAGCTGCTCGGCCATGGAAACCCATTCCATGAAGCTCTCTACGCACTGTTGTTGCGCCAATCTGAAGGCCGCATGGAGTTTGGAGGTCTGTAGCTATTGACTCTGCAGACGGTTGGCGACTTCTGCGCACTGTGCGCATCAGCATGCGCTGACCCCGCTCTGTCATGTGACGTGGCCGACCACTTCCTGGCTGAGTTGCTGTTGTTCCCGGTTGCTTCCACTTTGTTATAATCCCAGTAACAGGCGACCGCGGCAGAATATTTAGTAGGCGGGAAATGTCACGGACGGACTTATTGCACAGGTGACAACCTATCACGGCACCACGCTTGTAGTCACTGAGCTCCTGAGAGCGACCCGTTCTCTCACCGATGTCTGTAGAAGCGTTTGCATGCCGAGGTGCCTCATCCTATACACCTGTGGCCGTGGAGGGGGTTGGAGGAACACCTGAATCCAATGATTTGGAGGGGGAGGGGCCCAATACGTTTGGCAATATAGTGTATGTAAATGAAGGCAGTAAATGGCGCTGAAGTAAGAGAATCAATTCAATATACCTTTCTCCTAGATAAGTGTCCCTCTTGAATTGTGATCTCTCCATATGATTAGGATGGAGGGATGGATGGTTGGATGAATGGAGGGATGGATGGTTGGATGAATGAATGGAGGGAGGGATGGATGGAGGGAGGGTGGGATGGATGGAGAGAGGGATGGAGGGAGGCAGGGAGGGATGGATGGTTGGATGAATGGAGGGAGGGTGGGATGGATGGAGAGAGGGATGGATGAATGGAGGGAGGGAGGGATGGTTGGATGAATGGAGGGAGGGTGGGATGGATGGAGAGAGGGATGGATGAATGGAGGGAGGGTGGGATGGATGGAGAGAGGGAGGGAGGGAGGGACCGATGGATCTATTGGCATTCATATGCCTATAGGCTGCTTTAGATTGGAACCATTGAAAGTTCTGAATGGGTCATTATTCTAGTTGATTGCAGAGCCGCCCGGTCCATGCGATGGGCAGCATTTGTTTAATCCCGCTGTGCTTTGTTTCAGGTCCTGGGCACGCCGACACGGGAGCAGATCCGGGAAATGAACCCCAACTACACAGAGTTCAAGTTCCCCCAGATAAAGGCGCACCCCTGGACTAAGGTGAGAGCCACGTCCCATGTCCTGTCTGGTCTTATCATGCATGTACTGTACTACACCCCCCTCCAAGCATGTACACAGGAGGCGACTTGCCTGTTGACCTCCTGAAGTCTTAATTCCTCCCAAATCTGATATTCCCGATTTGCATGCTGGTCAGTTAGCGGAATCCCAATCCTCCATTACTAGTCACGGCTCCATTCAAGCACTGCAGTTACCGGTGCTCTGCTCCATGGGGTGAGGGGAACCCGGCTTCTTGCTGGGCTGAATGCTTGGCCCAGTTTATTTTGCTGATTGGTTTGCAGCCGCCTCTGGTGACATGCACCTTCTTTTTGCTCGTTACAATTTGATTGGCTGCAATTTTGGCCGTGTTTAAATAGGACCAATCATCAGCCGGGACATCCAATGCAAGGTCACCATTGATCACTTCATCGCAGTCAGCAATAATAAAAGTTAGAATGACCCTGTTGGGATCCTAAAATGAATCCTACGTGGTAGTTCCCTCCATTAGAGGTTGTATACTCGCCTTTCCCCTCCCCCCCGCAGTGGCTCTATGCTATGACCCGTATGTCACCACAGGACACAGCAGTGATAGCACACCACGCTGCGTGGTGGGTGACGCTGGGATCCGTGCATGTGTGTAAAAGCACCGTGTATAGATCAGGGACCTAAGTGCCACCATACCACAGGCAGCGCGGGCTGCATTCATTTCTGCCCTGTATATCCTAAACCAGCGCTTCTCTTGGTCATTAAGTCGCACCACACTGGAACCCACGGCATTGCGGTACCGCACGTTGCAGTGCAAGGGATCACACTGGGCAGGGGGTGTGTCTGGGGAGCCATTCAAATGAATTTCAACACAACACAACGCACCTCCTGCACCAGAATGTACAGAAGGTGCAATTGCGTTGTAGTTTGTGATTTAAAACACTGACACACGCACAACCCCAGACACACGCACAACCCCAGACACACGCACAACCCCAGACACACGCACAACCCCAGACACACGCACAACCCCAGACACACGCACACACACAACCCCAGACACACACACACACACACACAACCCCAGACACGCACACACACATACACACTCCCAAACAAGTTTTAGGGGGTCCATCCATACGTGCATTGCATGTACAGCTCCCTTGCACTCCCCGTAGAGGTGCCGGGAGCCAGAATGTGACATCACACCGGTCACGCGAGGACGCTGTAAGCAATGCACATATAGGTGGAGCGCCCTCGCCGCCCCCTGCCCGCCCCACCTCAAGCTGACAGTCTACCTCGGGCAGCATATTCTGAATGGCTGTTCGTCACGAGAACTGGCAATGCTGCGCTACGGGGGAGGCTGAGGAGCCCCTCACCTAGTGCAGTGGAAGGCATGCGGCAACCCACTGAACACGGGGTCGCAACCAACCAGTTGAGAACCATTGTCCTAAACCATTGGGTGCGATAGACCTTATTCAGACTAGATAATGTGATACTAATATGATCCATTATGGAGCAGATCACATGCTTACACTGGTGTATGGAATGATGGGGAATTCATTGTAGAGACAAAACCCATATGCTCGTGCAAAGGTAAGTGTAGATGTCTGTCCCCAGGTCATTGACCAGTAGAAGAGGTTCACACCCTGCCCCCATTCCCCCCATTACTTGATATAAAATGCACTTTTATGCTCATGTTGTTCACTAGCTGAGGTATCTTGTCACTCATATCATCCACCCTGCGACAGGGGCTTTGCAGCCTTCACACTTAGATCCGTTTTCTCTCTTCTTTTTTTTATCTTTAAAGGGTTGTGTATTTTTACAGGTTTTCCGAGCCCGTACCCCACCAGAGGCCATTGCGCTGTGCAGCCGGCTACTGGAATATACGCCCACCGCCCGCCTCACCCCCCTGGACGCCTGCGCTCACTCCTTCTTCGATGAGCTCCGGGACCCCAACCCCAAGCTTCCCAATGGTCGCGACTTCCCTGCACTCTTCAACTTTACCACTCAAGGTAATGCCCTCTAAATCTGGAGCTGGAGCGGGCCATGACGACTTACATCGCATGTGACAAGTGTCCAGAGGCAGGAACCATTGGCTGCAAAAGGGGTCACATGACGTCACGCTTCCAGCTACCACAGTGTTGGCTTTGGGTAATCTTGACGCCTCTCACAGGAATAACCCCTCCGTCACCTAAGTCATCAGTTCAGTTTATTAATCGGTATTGGCTGGCACTGTGAAACCGACAAGGTGAAGATCTTGAAGCTCTCTGAGAAGGGGGTTTGCGATAGGTTCCTTTTAAAGCCCGACTCCATCTTTAAGAAATGATGGCCAGCGGCTGCAACACGCTCCTCGTCTCCAGCGCTGTCCCCTGCAGAATCACCATTCTGCAATCCCAGTGCTGCTTATCTTTGGGTGACGGCCAACGCCACCCCAACCCACAATCCTGTGAACCCAGGCTGTCATGGACCTGCCCCCTCCCCCGGGGAGCAACTTCATGCCAGTCTGGGCTCACAGTACCCCCTGGGCCGTAATGATGGATCAGCGCCGCGCTGTCCATTCGTAAGGAACGTCTGCCATTGCCGCCAGCGGAATCGTGACATCAGAGGACTTGCCAACAGACTGCACGATATAAAAGGTACAGTATGTATAAAGTGACAAAAGATAATGGCGGGGGGGGGGGGGTGGGATTTTGGTTGTTTTG